CATGACCAGCCAGCCTGAAATAAAATCGTCGAGACCAGTCTGCCAAACGTAGGATGTTTCGAAGTGAAGTGCCAGCCACTAGGGCGTCAAATGCCGCTGCGCCCCTAACTGAATGCACTCTGAAAGCTGAATCCACACCTGCCAAAGACAACAACCATCTGATCCACCGTGCCAAGGTTGTAGAAGAGACCAGTTTGTGAGGTTGTATGTAGGAGACCAGTAATTGTCCAGAGCAAGAAGTATGAAGTGGAGTCGTAATCGTCACATAACAAGATAGGGCTGCCACCACGCAGAGCTTAGGTGCGTCCCGGAAATATGGGTAGAAGATAGCCATCGAGTCTGACTTGGTACATCTAGACACCTCGAAGGTCACCCCCTGTGGGGAAAACGAGAACACCGCCATCGAATGCCCAAACGTCGGAGATCCGTCGAAAGGAGATGAGGCATCGCAGGAGAGCAAATTTAGCCGAAAGCTGTCAGAGGTACAGGTCTTGATTGTCCGGCCAGTCCTGTGGAAACGATAAGACCGTGTATACATCCCAGAGGAAGGAGTATTTAGGTTTTGGAGGTCGTGTTAGTCTGATGCCCTTGAGGCAAACCAACGGGTCTTGACCAATGGGGGAACCATGGAAAGGCACATGAGCTGCTGAGATCACCAACCTGGCTACATTAACCGAATGATATGACCGCCCCTGGTTAAAAGGGGGAGAGAGGAAGTTCAAAACACTGGATACAGGGGCTGTAAAGGGATCGGTATTCCGTTCCAGGCACCAATGACACCAAAAGTTCCATGTGGATAAGTAACATCTCCTAGTGCAAGAGGAGGGTCCTAGCCGACTGAGATAGGTCATCAACATTCCAATTCCCCTGAAAGAGTCAACCACTAATCGCTGTCGGCCATCCACCACAAGGGGATGAGGGTTGCATCACAGGTCCGAGAGGAGTGTCTGCGGGGATGGCAGGAGGAGTGGATCCTGATGCAAAAGTTCCAGAAACTCCAGGAACCAGGACTGGCCTTGCAAAGGGGGGTGAGTAACACTAATGACACACGTTGATGACGGACTCTGGAGATCATAGCGAATGGAGGAAATGCATAAACTCCCTGAAATGGCCATTCCTGAAGAAAAGCATCCACCGCTGTGCAAGCTGGGTCCGGAAGCCAACTGAAGTAATTTGGGACCTGGAAGTTCATCCTGGAGTCGAAGAGATCCACTGTGAATGGGCCCCTCCAGTCCACAATATTGAGGAAAACTGAGTGATGGAGCCTCCAATCGACTGCATCCCTCCAATGTGTGGAAAACCAGTCTGACGCCAGGTTCGACACTCTCGGGAGATACTCTGCCTAAGTGATGTTGCATTGGAATCAGAAGCTGTAGATCTCCTTCGTTACCTCCGGGAGTGGGCCCCTCCTAGGTGGTTGATGCTGAGATGTTGTCCATCCTGAGTAGAAATCAACTATCTGATAGGTGGTTCACAAGGCTCCATATTGCAAACAAACCAGCAACCAGTTCTAGGCAATGTATGTGATACTCCATCTCCATTTCCGACCAGGGGCCTCCCGTGGAGCCGGTCACACAAGTGGCTCCCCAACCCCAGAGTCTCGCGTCCAACTCTAGTACGAAATCCGGGGTCGGGCTGACATGTGCAGCAGCCACCAGCGAAGCTCGATCTTGACATCCTGTCTAAGAGGGATCACTTGGTCATAGCGGGCAGGAAGCAGGCCTTCAGGCGTTGCATGGCCCTGAAGTGAATGGGTCCCGGATAGATCCCCTGGATGCAGAGAGGAGACCCACTATGAGAGCCATTAGGAGTGGGATCCGGTCCTGCCTCAGAATCCTCCGGATTTCCTTCCCAATGTTGGAGATCTTCGACTGAGGAAGGTTTAGGAGGCAATTTGTTGCGTCTATTTCGAAACAGAAGAAGTCGTTAACCTGCGTCGTTGTGAGGACTGATTTCTCAGTGAAACCCAGCGACTCAAACAAGGGGATCGCAAAGAGTGTCTGAGATTTTAGCCTGGAGGGCTCCTCGCGAAATATCAGTAGATCATCCAGGTAGATGATACAACAGACACCCCTGGACCAAAGTTGTGCCATCACCGTTTTTAGCAATTTGGTGAAACACCATGATGCTGAGCTGAGACCGTAGGGCAGGCCAGTGAACTGGCAAGGTCTGCCACTCCAGAGAAATCTGAGGAACCATTGGCACGTAGGATCCACTGGTACAGACAGATAGGCGTCCTTCAGGTCCAGTCTTGTTAACCAATCCCTGGGGACGAGGACGTCCCACAGTAGATGGATGTCCCCCATCTTGAAATGTCGGTAAGTGATGAAGGCATTCAGGTTCCTCAGGTTTATCATCAGGCAGAAGTCCCCGGATTTCTTCCTCACCAAGAATATGGAGCTAAAGAAACCTTTGCCGTCTGGCATCCACTGCATTGCACCTTTTTTGGGTTTCGGCATTTATCAGTGACTGAAGTTCCCTCAACAACACAGAGATCAGGGGAAAGGTGAACCTGTGTCCAACATCTTATCCTGCACCAGTCGGAGGCTGCGCGCGACCCCTTTCTTGGGGTCACGTCCAGAACACGTCAGGTAAGTGGAGACCATGGTGTCAAATTCCGGGTTCAAAGGCATTCCACCCATAATCTCTTCTGTACCTCCCAGTCTAGAGATCTACAGACCCAACAATGCACGAATCGTGCCAGGGGGTCGGGCAAGGACCATTCAGAGGATCTGGGGTGCCTGATGGTATGTTGGTTGAAGAGACGCTCACCCATAGTGTCCAGGAACACATCCTCACTCAGCTGAGAGGTGGGTTATGTTTGTGTAGGAGGAACCTCAGAGTCTCGGGGCCACATGGAGTCATCAAACTCACCCTCGCCCCACCTGTACTCACATTCCGAAAGGCCGCCATTTGTCTAGCATGGATAGGGGTGGGGGAGGTAAGAAGTCCTCCTCCCCATCTGAGAGGTGTCTCTTCCAGGTGGGAAAGTCTGAGACCACCTAACTTCAGGCGCTTCACTGGAGCCTTGCCCTTCTGGGCGCATGGCTCTGTTCCTTCACCCTTCCAATAGTGCTTAGACGCTCTTGCCCATTCTCTCCTGGAGGAGTCCGACTCTGCGGAGTCTTCTGCCATGTGGGGGGTACCCATAGAGACCCTATCCTGTGGCACTTGTGGAAGGGCCCTAGCCAGGGATTTCTCCACAGAGGCGGTCACTGCCTCAAATGTTCTTTTATCTAATCTAAAGAACTTAGAAAACCTAAAAAAGCATATATTCTTTTTTAAAGAAAATAAACCAAGTGATACTGCACAATTTTTTATGATTCAACATTTTTTATTATTCATCAATTTATATATTTTCTCTTTTTTTTATCATTTATCAATTTATATTTTAAATATATATGTCTATAATTGTACTTTATTTCTTACCTTCATATATATTTTATCTGCCATATCCCCTTTTTTCCTTTAGTATATTTTAACTCCCTTCCATTTGAACTATATTTTAATATCTGCCTCCATTTATTTTGGTTTCTACATGTAAAATTACTATTTGCCAGCACTATATTTGTTGTATTGCTATTCCTTTTATTTCTCTTATGGGTGTATGTATTTCATTTTTGTTTACTTTATGTAAAGACTCTAAGTGTGGTTTGTTTTATAAAGACACTAAAGGGGTGAGCGGCTGGCTGATAAAGTTCGAAGTCAGCCGCTCATTGTTCCCTGTAATGTGGGCCGTGACCGGCTACAACTACATCTCCCGAGAGCCCTTGCTCTCTTAATGCCGGTCACGTGCCCCTGTGGGTTGTTCTTCCTCCCTAGTGAGCGGCGTGCTATTCGCCGCTCACGTCTCGGTCACGTGACGGATCTTCCGATCACGTAACGTTTTCAATTATTAAATATTTAATAAATTAATGCTCGTTTTTCAAATTGAAATATACAATGAGTAAGATACTCACCCCTTTTTTATCTATATCAAATTTTATGCAAATTCGCAATTGCAAAAAGATTTATGTTATCTCTTGCTTGTAATTTGTGCATTGGTTTAGGCGCCAATTTTAATCTTTGTATAAAGCTATATAAACTGTTTAATGCCAGGTTACTGTTCTTTAGCCATTTTTGATAAAGCCCATGAGGTGAAACGCGTCAAATGGTTTTTTACTGTGTATTTTAACAATAAAAACTTTTATTTGGTACCCTTATTTATAGGACCAATTCTGTTTTATTGTATAGACACATTTTTTATTATTTTTTCCTGGCATCTAACTGTTCCTGCTCAAAGCAATCCATAGGTGGGGATTATTCCACCAGCACATTATAAATAGAGCAGTATTTCCTGCTCTACAATTGTGAGTATAACTTATTTTATTTAATGTTTTCCCTTCCTACCGAGAGCACTATATTTGTTTTTACATATCGTGGGAATTTCTACGCTACTCAAGCTGGACGGAGTGACCTATCCCTAAAGAATATCCATTAGCGGGGATTATATCGCTAAGTGCTTTACAACCAAGAGCTGGTCTATAGCTCCAACAAATGTGAATGCATTTTCCTCCATTTTACCTCATTTCGCTAATTCTCTCAGTACATACTATACCATTGGATGCCTGTTGTGTTTTTATCTTTCATATACGGATTCCCTGGAAACTTGGAAGGATTAACCTCTGAGGACTGTATATATACAGCTTATCTACATATCAGTGAGATGTCTCTTATGCATGCTATTGGACTTTTTAAGCTTAATTTTTATTAGTGCACAGACTCTGTTCAACTTTTTTATTGTATTGTTTGTCTTTTTTATTATATGGTTTTATGATATCTTTCATTGCATTTTTACTTATTTTACACTCATTTTATTTCTTCAGCGCAGCCCTTCACCCCCTTTTCTTTCCTTTTATACTATATCATGGTTCTTGAGGGATCCCCTTGTTAGGGTTGCAGCTCTTATCTTTTGCTTTTAAGCGCAGACTTCTCCTCCCCCATTTCTTTTACCCATCAAGGAACTGCAACGGATTCCCCGCAACGCCTCGAGGAAATCTTCCTCCGATTCTGGGAGAAACTCGACCAGCGCGTACAGGAAGGCCTGGACCAGGCAACAAAACAAAACACATGCCAGTGAGCAAGGGCACAGGCAGCAGGGAGTGAAGAGGATACCCTTGGATGCAGCAAAAACACACCTAAGCACTCCTACTCTACCTCACCCACCTGGGCTGAAGGTCACCAGGGCTAAAGCCCAGAAACATCTTCCACAGCGCTGGAGGTACAAGCGCCACAAGAGGCAGAAGACCACTAGGCCCCCCGGCTCTCCCACGAGAGGAGGAAACTTGGACTCAAGCAGTCACCGAGTTCGTGGCACAGTGATGCAGGCCTGCTCACCAGCCTTGGGCTGCTCAGCAGAGGCCCTATATAACCCATCAGCAGACACCATCGGTTTCCCAGCGGAGGGAGTCGGATGAATGAACAGCCACACACTCGCACCCCCCATGTCCAAGGTGCCTCTCACACAGTGCCACCGTACACCTCAAATGGACATGAGGACTCACCTACCCGGGACTGCTACACTTCAGGTTTAAGGCAAACCTCACCCTGAGTTCCAGACGGAGGGACAAGCACTCTCAAATGAAGATGGACATGTGATGATGTTAGCTCTTCCCGGCATAACCCACACACTCCAGACTGGCTATATAGTATTACACTCCAAACCTGTCTCTAACACACATGCAGACACGTCCACACACTATATCACCCTGTCACTAACGGAATGCAATTACACACACCACATCAAGCTCCTGAAAAAACAAAACCTCTCATATCGAGCCAGTCTCGTTTTCAAACACCTCTGCTCTAATGCCACAGCATTTCCGAATGGCACAAATGATTATACCCTGCCACTGTTTATTCCTCCTGTATATACTCTGCCTGCCAATAATGTTTTGTTGTCAGCAAGTTTGCTCTCTAAGTGATGATTTAACGTTCAGACACACCTGTCCAGCTTAACTCTCCACGTATTACTATGTTTTAGTATGTCTAATGTCATACTAAACGACAAAGCGATCCATTACGACATCCCTATCATTGACAATACACTCTTAGCCAACCTGTTATATCACCTATATAGCTCCCAATTGGATACTGATAAAGACACAGGATGGTATTATTAAGCCAGCGGAAGAAAAGATTTGGGAGTACTTTTATGGTATGGGAGTAACAAACCTCGTATAAGTTTTGCTAGAAAACATAATATATGTCTAAATGCTATACTATGATGGCTGGGAAAAAGTTAAATGAAAGTGTGGAATAGAAAACAAATTTCCTGTAAATAATATATAATCATATATACCATACTATGTAGAAGACCTCAATTTAGATAAATTGGTACAAAAACACGTCTTACAAGTTGACCAATTAATGGCAGCAGATCGAATTAAATCCTTTCCTCAAATAGTACTGGATTTCCAATTGTCTAATAAAGAGTTATTTACGTACATTAGAATAAAAAACTTCATAAATGAAAATTTTATTAGCAATAGTACAGAGGGGGTTAAGAATATTTTTTTAACTGTTTACAAATGAGCTAGTAGACCAGGCGGTTCAAAAGGTAAGACTGCTATGCTAAAATTAGAGACTCCTAAAACCAGCAAAGCTTGTAAAAAGTAGGGAAAAAACTTAAAGATAAAAATTAATAGAGAGGATTAACAAAAACTCAATTCAAAGTATTGAACAGATGGTATTTGGTCCCGTCCAGACTGGCTAAGATGTATAAATCTACTTCGCCACTATGTTGGAGATGCAAAAGACAACTTGGTTCTTTTACTCATATCTGGTGGACTGTGATAAAATTAAAAAAAAAGGGGAAGGAGGTTTTTGTGGAATTAGAATTTTTATTAAACAAATCTAAAACCCCAGAGAATGCCATTCTTCACCTGAATATTAATCAACTACAGAGAAAAGATATATATATATATATATATATATATCCATTTTATGATTGCAGTTAAAACTCTCATTGCTCGAAACTGGAAGTCTTCAAATAACTTTACAATAGCTAAGTTTAACTCACAGGTGTTGTACCAACTAAACATGGAAGCATTACTATATAAGTCACAAGGACTAGACCCTAATAAATAACAGGAGTGTGAACTTTGTATTAAAAAGTAACTGAATTTTGTTGAATCAGACCCTGTAGTATATATTCTTAGATTAAGTTCTACATAGGGATTTTACAACGTGGCTGGTTATTCTCCCCCAAAGTACCCCACAGGCGGTGTGTATTATGTTTTGTCTTTTGTAATCTTGTATAAGTGAGAGTGATATGTATTCGGTTTGTAATATTATTCTTTTTTTGTAATCTTTACAAATAAATAAAAAAAATATAAAATAAAAAGTTAGTAATATAATGAAAACATATGTAATTGTTTGCAAAAAAACAAACAAAATGATAATCACAATTGCCTCCCTGTCCTTAACATCTGCAGATTCCCTAATTGTGATGCAAAATGTTTAGAGTAAAATACAGAATATCTTGGTGATCGCTGTGTATTACTGTAGAACATAGACACCCTACTTTAAGAACAGATGCTGGGCACAGTTATCTTCTAGACAAATGTATTATTGCAATACTGTAGAGACTGAAAACAAAAATTACAAATACATTAAGTATATATTTCCCAAAAGGCAGGATAGATTACAAATGCTATATTCCTGTTTTATGCAAGCCAAAAATGTTTTAACTGTTAAGTCTTTTTTTAACTTTGTGCCAACAGACCAACAGGCAGCATAACTATTTGTTGTTTATCAAATAGAGAACACGATTAAAGGAGCAGAAAGACACTTTTTCTTACTTTTAAAGAGATTAGGGGCGTATTCCCTAAATTCACTAATTGTAGTTAAATGAAATATTAATGACTGAATTTAGCTAATATTGCCAAGCTGTGCCTATAGCTCAGTGGTGTATTCTGGTTTTGTGCTGCCCTAGGCATCACAAAACTAAGCACCCACCTACCCCCTTCCAAATTTCTCTTCCTGACAGAAACACACACTCACTAATGCACACTCACTGACAGATACACAGTCATTGTCACACACACTGTTTAACCAACACACACTTACACATTCACAGACATACTCATTCAAAGCTACACTCACTCACAGTTACACACACACACACACACTCACATTCACTGACAGACACAGATACACATTGGCACGCATTCAGTGACTGACACATTCACACTCACGGACAAGACACACACACTGACAGACACACACACTGACAGATACACACACACTGACAGATACACACCCACTCAGTGTCAGACACACACACACTGAGACACACATATTCTTACTGACAGATACACACTGACAAACACACATACTCACTCACTGGCAGACATGTGTCTCAGACATACACTCAGTGTCAGACACACACACTAACAGACATACACTAACACACTCACTAACAGACACACCCACTAACAGACACACACTAACACACTCACTAACAGACACACCCACTAACACTCACTAAAAGTCACACACACACTAACACACTAACAGAAACACACACTAACACACTCACGAACACACACACTCTAACACACTTTAACAACATTTTTACATTTCGATCCACCCAGCCTACCTACCTTTGGTAGTGCTGGAGAGGATTCTTCCCTAGGGTCAAGTGGGGCTGCTGCTGGCTGGGCTGGCTCAGGCGCAGGCGGAGCAGTCAGGAGGGCAGGCTCATATTGAAGGTGGCGAGGGAGCTCTGATCTCCCTTCTCAGCTCCCTCGCGTGCCTCTCAGTGATACCGGGCCTGAGTGACGTCATATTCCGGCTCCCGAATTAGCGCGTAAGAGAGCTGAGCAGGGGAGAGTGCTCCCTCGCTGCCTGCCTATATCAGCACACAGGACAAGAGGCTGGCAGGGCATTTGAGGGGGGTGACTTTTTTGTCACCCCCCTGAAAGTGGCACCCTTGTCAGCCTCACGGTAGATACGGCACTGCTATAGCTATAGAGCCTATAGAGTTGGAGGGTTTTTCAAGATCAACTATGTTGTATGGAAGCCCAGAGAGGTCATGTATTTTTAAATATTTTTCTAAGTTGTTATCTCAAGAAAACAAGTCAGAAAAATATAAAAATACATGGTCTCTCTGGACTTCCGTAATATTGGCCGACATTTTGCCATCCGGGTTTTAATTTGCCACATTTTGGAGTAAAGTGAAAAACCATGATCAGCAAAGCATGCAATGGATGCCACTAAAACACCAGGCATCAGATGTTTTGGGGTACAAATCTTTAGTCAGAGAAAGTGATGAAGTTAGCACAATGAATGGTTGTCTTTCCACGAGTGACCCTGAAAACAAAGATTGTGCTCAATGCATTTGATACTGCATATTTGTTGTACATTATATACATACAAAGCACACATCTATCTATTCATACACCAAGGAAACCTATCAGACAGTCTTGAGTGCTTAGGCTTATCACAATAATGGTTCCAATAATGGACCTACAGTGAGTTCTGTCGTACTGTGATGGAATTGCAGTAAAATAAAAGTTTAGCAGGCCAAGATTGCCACAAGGCATATGTAGGTACATGTGTTTGTAGTATCAGTTAGTTAGTTACATGTAGCTAAGATACTGTCATCAATGTAGTGAGCATGTGCAGGAATGCAGGAACTGGAAATACGTGTCCCTCTCCTTTGTTTCAGATGAGCCACGTGGTTAGACCGGATGGATGAGTTTAGACTCTGTTCATTGATTAGGTTAAGGGTATGTGTGGGCGTAGCTAATTATGGGAGGAGCTACAGTGCTATATAAGGAATGTACTCTATGTATTCAGTGCTCAGAATTTTGGAACAGGAGTTCATCTGAGACTCGATCGGTAATGTGAATAAAGGCCTCTTACTTCCTGAATACCTGTGTCCATCTCTCTGTGTTCGGCTTCTGCACGCTTACACGGTTACAGTATTCTATAGTAATTTCACTTTTTAAGAACAAAAAGCAGAATAGAAAAAACTCGATAAGTCAGGTATGGTTTTAGTTCAGTTATTTCAACTTAAATTTCAAAATTCAGTTTATATTCGCAATATGTCACAAATGAATACATAACACTGTTGGATAGTGAAGCTTGGACTTTAATTTCTATTAAAACAGATGTTGTGTACAAGAAATTCAAAAGGGAATCACACAAATTCAAAAGGGAATCACACACAAGGCATCATAGGAAATTCGGTCTACAGCATCTATAGTTCCACAGAGAGGCTGGGTACATAATTGTAGCCTAAAACATACTTTAATTAGATCAGGACAAAGATTCCACTCCAATATAAAGCCTTTGTCAAGTAAAAAAAGACTTGACAAAGGTTTCTGAGTGGAGCCAAACCATGGTGTTTTTCACCTGAACCAATTAAAGTTTGCTCAGAGCTACTACTATGTACCCAAACTCTCTGTGA